GATGTGAAACCCATCTCAACCCCCCATTTTATTTACTTCTGAAAAGCTTATATTCAGACACTGTAAATGCTCTAAACCTTTCATTTATATTTGAGAGGAATAATTTTTGCAGTTGAAACACTTTTTTTATTCTTGATAGAGAGGAGATTGAAAAAAATCAAGGTGTGTTCTGATCTTATAACAACTATTAAAGAAAATAAAGAAAATATAAAACTGGAATCAACATGTCCGGCTTTTTAAAGCCTGGTTATCAGTCAAAAAACTGCAATCACCGCTATAGCTGTCATCCTTTCTTCGTTCATTTTTAAATTATTGTTGAAATAAAACTGTAAATGTGAAAAAAACTAAAACAGGTCCAAGGGACTAATCTTTTACAGTTTCTTTATCTGTACATATAATTATGAAGAATGTATTTAATATTCTGTCTTCAGTACAGGGGCCCGTAAAGGTTCTAAAGGGGCACTGGCCCACGTGGGCCCCTGTCTAAAACCTGTAAAGGAAGCTCTGTTTTTACACCTTTAAGCTTTCTCTCCCCGATTCTTTCCTGAGAAGAGATCACTCAAGACAAACTCTATAAATAAAACTTCATAATGTATATGAATTAAATAACCGTGAGACATGACAACACATTTTTATAGAAATTGTAATCTTACTCAGACCAGAGAATTTAGAGAAGGCAGCGCTTACCAACCACCTCGCTTGTCGTTAAAGGTCCTGAATCACAGTTAAAGAAACATTTTATACAACTCCAGTCTGCAACATCATGTCTTACATGTTTGTAAATGAGACATCTATGGCTCCAAGTATCTCAAAATATTACTCAAGAGTCTCCAATAAATACACAGAGAACTTGTTCTGAAGAATAATCCTTTCTGTCTGTGGCTCCATTTCATTCCCAAATCTCTATTATGTACATAATGAATACGATGACTGTATATCCTGGCAGAGGAACTGTCCTAATTAGATAAACTACTTGGGAAAACATTAGTTTTGACATGTAACAGGCAAATAATGTAAGGATTTCCGAAGCAGCTTCTTCCCCACCGCCATCAGACAGCTGAATGTTGAAAAAACTCTAAATCATGTTACAGACTCTGCATCAAACTGACCATATCAATGCATTTCTTGCACCATGTTTATTTCTCCCACAATGTTTACATTTGATCACTGCTGCACTTTAAGAAAATTGAAATGTCATGAGAGCTTTAAAAAATGAAATTTCGTTTTATATAAACTCTGCCTATACAAAATGACAATAAATGTAGTGAAAGTCTAAGTTTAAGCAACTCACACATCATCAATAAAAATAATGCTAACAAGCCACCAAGGAAAATGTACATTATAAGGAATGTTGTTTTCTGCATTTAAGCCATCAGGGAGCAGTGGATAGCTTTCAGCACCAGGGGGAGCTATCTAAGGTTTAAGGGTGATGCTTTGGGATTCAGAGCAAAAGTCCGTCCGTCCGTCCGTCCGTCCGTCCGTCCATCCATCCATCCATCCATCCATCCATCCATCCATCTTCTTTACAGTCTTAATCCCAAGTGGGGTTGCGACTCGCAACTTGCGAGGGGTGCTGGTGCCTATCTCCAGCTGTCTACGGGCGAGAGGCGGGGTCCACCCTGGACAGGTCGCCAGTCCATCGCAGACTTGCAAGGCCATAGTTGAAAAAAAAACATAAATGTTAAAGGAATAGTACACCCAAAACATGATTAGCCTTCATTTTCTACGCACCCCCATGCTGAACAACACTCTGGAGTACTTTTTTGATATCTCAAATGCATCTGGAGATCTGGGAGGCTTCTTGCTGTCTGCTGACATTCAAATAATGGAGGTCTATGGTGCCCGAGGCAGAAAGGTCCATAAAAGTCCACAAAAAACGTGTCAATATTCCTCCATACTGCTCGTCCAATGTATTCCAAGTGTCCTGAGTGGGTAGCGTCCATAATTTACTCGAAACAAAGTCATTTAGAATGTTTTTAGAGCATAAACAGTAGTGTATAGGAGTTCCTGAAAGCGCGCGCCTGCGAGTTCACGACTCTACGGAAACCGCGGCAGACCAAACCAGATGAAAGTGCGCATTCAGCTTCTGCTCTGCCGATAATGCAAGCGTAGAAGAAGAAATGTGCTGTTTACCTGTGCAAAGAAAGAAACAACGAAAGAAAAATGTCTGAGGACTTCAGTGTTGAGGAAGAGCATGAGTTCTTTGCCGAGCTGAATGTGCACTTGCATCTGGTTTGGTCTGCCGCGGTTTCCGTAGAGTCGTGAACTCGCAGGCGCGCGCTTTCAGGAAATCCTATACACTACTGTTTATGCTCTAAAAACATTCTAAATGACTTCGTTTCGAGTAAATTATGGACGCTACCCACTCAGGACACTTGGAATACATTGGACGAGCAGTATGGAGGAATATTGACACGTTTTTTGTGGACTTTTATGGACCTTTCTGCCTTGGGCGCCATAGACCTCCATTATTAGAATGTCAGCAGACAGCAAGAAGCCTCCCAGATCTCCAGATGCATTTGAGATATCAAAAAAGTACTCCAGAGTGTTGTTCAGCATGGGGGTGAGTAGAAAATGAAGGCTAATCATGTTTTGGGTGTACTATTCCTTTAACCTACATCAGGGTCCATAGTGACAAGAGGCCTTATGGTCTTCAGAGTAGCTCAGCAGTTTAATGGAAGAAGATTTTAAGGCAATGCAGCTTCTTTCACGTCACATTTTAGAGTGAATGGATAGACTTTATACAGCACCTTTTTAATTGTACTGAACCTTTAAACAGCTCTCCACAAGAGCCACATTCAGTCAGTCATATTCACACAAGAAAAAGCAGAATGGTTAGCAAATTTGGTTTAGAAGTGCCATCTCCGTCTGCTCTTCCCTTTGGCATCAAAGCCACATCCTTAGAAATTGTAAGACGACTATTCTTCCCACTGAGTCAGTTGACCACAGATCTAATACAAAGTTTCACTTGCAGTGCTGCAAAGTATACAATGGAGATGTGTTTCCTGGAGGGATGAATCATGCCTCTGTCTGGTAATACAGGGTCAGTACAAATCAGCGTTAGGTAGTTGCCAGGGTAACTTGCCTGATTTCATTGTGCCAAGACCAAACTTTGATGTGGAAAGAAATTGATGGAGTTTGGATCTACCCCTTGGTTTGAGTGAAAGGTAATCAGCACATCAAGACATTCTAGAAGGTTTCATGCTTCCAGCTTTATGGGAACAGTTTAGAGATGTTGAATTTCTGTGCAAAAGTTTCCAAAGCATGGTCCATTAAAAACTAAGATAAAGGCATGAGATAAAAAAAAAAAAAAAAAACATCTGACTGGTCTCCACATAATCCTGACCTTTGAGATAAAATCGTTGAACAGACCTTTTCATATATATGTTATACAATATGTATATACAAGTTTCTTTTAAATTTTTTGAAAGGGCTTTTGAGATCCTCAAAGTTTCAGTGCATCATCCTTTGCACATTTCTGTGTACATTAAATTTTTTAATTAACATATTTCTATAAAATGCCATGCTCTGCAGAGGGATGTAGCTGCTGCCTTTGCTTCATACTATCCTGTTTTACTACTTGTTGGTTAGACTTTAACCCTCTATTCTGAGTTGGGAGCTGTGAGTAGATTGAGCGGCATGATCAACTCGTAGATCAGACAACAAAAGGATGATCTGTAAGAGGTTTTAGAGAATATGATGTGTTCCAATAGAACAAGGCGTATAAGTGCCACAGATATGCAGATATGACCAATCAGAGTGTAGAATAAAAAACAAACAAAGAACAAAAGAGCTTGTCAGGATGCTGGTTGAAGCTGGTATGGAAGTATAATTATCCATAGAAATTAGTCCTGTATCATCATGGGCTAGAAATTCACCCATGTCTGCAAAAGCACAAAGCCATGGAGTTTCAACGTATATTCTAATAAATACTGAAAATAAAAATAAAAATACAACCAATACAAAAAGATTGGTGAAGTTCAAACACTTTTTTTGGTTGGTTTTAGGGTGTATCTATAGCTATATGTCTGGCATGATACAGAAAGATAAAGGTAGTATATTCTTTCTTTCTTTTTTTTTGTATTTCCACTTTTTATTGAAAATATTTTTCCCATACAAGTATACATACCAATTTTACATTTTTTTCCCCCAAACACAACATCCAACAGAATCTGCACATATATTCTGTACATGTATTGAACTGTAAGCAAACTATTTACAGTCTGTAACTCTATAAGGCTACCCAAACCCACTGATCTCCATGGTGAAATAAAACCTCACCAATTTTCCCAATAATTTTTACATTTTCCAGATTCAAATCTGATGGAAAAAGTCAGCCTTTCCATAATATAAATATTATGTATTATTTCAACCCAATCTTCCCTTTTAGGAGCTTCTGCCTTCAGCCATTTCCTAGTAATGGCTTTCTTTTCTTGCTTTCTTTCTTTTTTTTTAAACCAATTTCTTTCTAATAAAGTCAGCAAGTGGTAAGAAACCTCTTTGTTCGACAGCCATTAGTGACAGATTTAATTAAAAATGTCTTCAAGTTTTAATCTGATTGATCTGTAAACGAATCCTGAGGGTGGATCTATTATTCGTCTTTCTATATACTCTACATCACAAACTAGAAGTTATTAATAAAACAGTTTTTACCTCAAGTCTTTAGAGTAATTAGCTATGAATATTTTTGATGATACTTTAATGTTATTCTGTGGGCTTTAGATGAGTTTAAGACTCGATTTCCATATAAAATAAGCAGAAAAACTTCTAAAATAAGGAAAAATTACCTTAGAATAACTTAATATTTGTTTTGCAATAAGCTGATGTGTGAATGTTTGTGGTGGCATTGCGTGATCTGTGCTAAAGCTTCTGTCTAATGTTTACAGGACCTTTTTTCTTTATGTTTTTTCCTTCATCACAGATGCATTAGGAGGCGTGCCGGACCGGACCGGGCCAGGGGCTCCGGATCCTTATAGCTTCATGTGATCTCAAAGGGAGGCGTTTGACTGGAGAGGGGTGGGGGTTGGAAAGAGTTATTTTTCCAGGATCCATCCCGCAGTAGTTCAGAGCTGACCTCCGCTCGTTTGGGATATTTTCTCTTTCCGTCCGGACGGTGACGCGCTGCAGATCCGATTATGGGAGACGCTCAGTCTGCGCAACGGGAGGCCAAAGGCGATGCAGCAGCGGAGGAGGAGGAGAGCGGAGAAGTGAAGGATGTGCAGGACGTCGACAACAAGGTAACATCATCTTTCCTACCAGATAAGTTCTATTAATGATCTGTTCTGTCAGAACTCGCATGCAGGGAATTCACCTGTTATAAAGTGTGCAGAGGTGCCATAGAGATGGGCTGATGGGTTAAAAACAGGGGAAGATGCTGAGGCTGGGTTCTGCTGCTGGCAGGACAGTGCAGCTGGTGCTGCAGAACAGGATTGCTCTTTAAAACCAAAGGATGGCTGTACTGTAACATCTAGAGGTTTGGAAATTTGAATGAAATAATCCCACTTTTTCTGAAGTTTTGAAGACTGACTTCCATCTGTGTTATTTTCTTCATGATGGAGTAGTTTTGAATTTCCTGAGGGGAGGGGAAACTCACTCCTAGAAAAACAAAAGTAAAGCCCAGGGGAAGGATAATATTCCTTCTCTGCTGCACTCAGCAGAAAGCAACATTGATTATTTATGTAAAGAATTATTACCTGGACCAGATGGACAGGATGTCTAACATGATGCACTGCTCTGTCACATTGAAAAAAGGCATAAATGCGTCAAGCAGCTGATATATGTAACTTTAGGTGATTATCTCAGTATAAGAGCATAGCAACCATCTAGATCTGTTAACATGACTCTTAACTCGTAAACAATTGTGAATAGAAATATTTTAGAACCTATAAAAACTTCCTTATTAAGTTTGTAACAGCAATCATTTGGTGGTTTGGATCAAAATTACTCATCAGGGAAACACCATCTCAACATGAATTATAGTGGTGAAGGAATCATGCTTTTCTTCTGCAGGGAAAAGGATGCTGATTAGAGTTCATTAAACATAGATGGAGCTGAATGAAAGGAGAACCTGGAGGAAAAAAGGCTGTAGAAACTAAAGGTGGGGTTTCCCTCTATACATGAACAATTAGAATAGATGATGTAGAGCAGGGGAGTCTAAAATGTTGCCCCAGAATTCAAGAATGATGTAAATATTGTCAGTCCAGGTGGTAGATGCAGATACATGTTTATGAAATGTTAGGTTGCTATTTTCCATTACAGAAGACCTTGAAAAAGGGGTTAATAAAACACTTAGTATGGAAAATGTAAAAGTAAACACAAAGGACCAGGTTTGGATTTCAATTTATTTAATTCAACAGTGAAAAAAGTGATCTTATACATCCACCAACTTTCCCTGAAACGACTTGGCTTTTAACTGTTGGGTTGGAAAAATTTATTCATTTTAACTTTTTCAATTTCTAAAACATTTAACCAAATTTTGTACTCTAAACTTCCCGTTTTTAAGCCTTAAAGGTTTACACATCATTTGCTTAGAGTAAAGTCTATTCCTGATATTTATGGCCTAGTCCAAGGGTTTGCAACCTTTTCAACCCAGAGGGCCATTTATCACCTCAGTCTAACTAGATTTAACTTTTTTAGAGCCAATAAAGAAACACAATTTTGAATAATAAACTTTTAAAAAGGGAAATTTATATTTTTTGCCAGACATCTTTAATAGGGAATGCAATAATTAAAGAATAATCAAGTTAACTTCTATTTTTAGATTTCGAAGTAAAGATTAACAGTTTTTTTGCATAAAGAGGACAGATACGTTTTTTTTCCTGAGGGTGTTATTATTAGTAAAAAAAAAAAGTAACCTGATAAACCAGACTAAATGTGAAATTAAATGTGTAATTTAGTCTGGCCCCGATGACTGAGACATCAGAAGATTGTTGATGAGAACAACCCGTTGACTTCAAAAAATGTCTGTGCCTCAAGGGCGCAGATAGCGTGTACGTCAGGGGTGTTCTGACGTACACAGATTCGAATTACCCTCAATCCGTCCCCCCCACTTTTATAAAAAAAAAAAAAAAAAAAAAAAAAAAAAAAACATACGGCGAAACTCACAGAAAATCAAAAAGCTTTTTCTAATTTACTGCTTTGCAACAACAACATAAAACAGTCAGATCATAGACGGGCAATCGTTTTGTTTAACTGCAGGCTGCCTGCGTCGTAGAGATTCTAATCTAAAAGTTATCCTGTCTCTGGCGTTTACGTCTCGAGCCTGGTTTCCATGGTTACTCAGACAGACAGTAGTGGCGGGACAGTTCCCAATTCCGGAGTCCGGACATCAACATGAGGCCAGCCAAACCGAAAAAACAGAAAACAATTGCATCCTTTTTTCGAAAAGCACCAACTGTAAGTAAACTGTTCATCATATCACTTTGCATTTTTTTGGTTGTCTGTTCGATGTCGCCGTGGAAAAAAGAGTAGAGACGGTCAGTGAGAATAGCGTGAAGAGAGGTGCCAATGTCATAAGGCGGGAGGCAGGGGGAATCGACTGGCATTTATTTATTTATAATTAAATCGACTGTTCCGACTTTTTCCGGAGTTGTCGGGGGTCTTTCAGAAATGTGTAGGCTACAGTAGGCTACTTGAATCCGTATTTATGCCAAGCCAAATGGTTTAGGTTGTTACAGGTTGAATCATGAGAAAAACGAACTTCAAAGCTAGACAAATTCCACTACACAGGGGCGGATTTAGGAAATTTAGGGCCCTAGGCAAAGACAGGCATGGGGCCTTCTGAATTGAGAAGACAACATATAGAACAGACCCATTATACAGATACAGAAATTTTAATAGAATAGAAATTTGAGGATGTCATGTATCTTCAAGTTTGTCTATGTCACTGTAACTCGGAGGAAAGAATCTCTCTCTCATATATATATATATATATATATGTATATATATATATATATATGTATATATATATATATATATATATATATATATATATATATATATATATATATATATATATATATATATATATATATATATATGTGTGTGTGTGTATATATATATATATGTGTGTGTGTGTGTGTATATATATATATATATATATATATATATATATATATATATATATATATATGTGTGTTTGTGTGTGTGTGTGTGTGTGTGTATATATAAATAAATAAAAGGTGCATGTCACAGGAAAGAATAGTGATGTTACAAATATGACAATTGCTTAAACTACAGAACAGTAAATTATTTTATCTATAATTAACGTGGCCCTTAGCATCCCCAGCTGTACACAATAACACACATTAAAGCAATGTTAATACAAAGCTGTAAAGTAGAGTGAGACGTTGATAATAACTTCCTTATGTTTTTTGAATGTATAAATTTAATTATAAAGGACTAAAACACCTAAAACTTATGGGTGATTTTACAACATTTAAAAGCCTGAGATTTTACTGAAACTGGGGCTACTGGGGCTCACTGGCCTTAGATGTAATGAGCGAACTGGAAGTGCTGAATACATCGCTCCAAAAAAGCACCCAGACATTGGAGGGCATTGTCTCTGCAGTCTCAGTTGTCCAAGAGAGATTACGGGACAAAAAAAGCCAGCCCACTTTGAGGCAGTCTTTAAGGAAGCAGTGGATATGGCTGAGAAGCTGTCTCTAGAGCCCATTGCTCTATCTCGAACACATAGGCCCCCAAAGAGATATTCTGGGCCAGCACCTGCACACAGGCCAGAATCTGCTGTGGAGTACCACAAAGTGGAGTTCTACAGAGTCCTTGACAAAGTAGACACACAACTTTCTTCATTTGAGGCCATTTATTGAAAAGCCATGTAAAGTACTTATTTACAAATTTGTTTTTGTATATATGTAGGCTTTGCTGTTCGTGTTTCTGTGTGTTTACAGCCTGCACTTAAAGTCAGTCCATGTTTAAATAAAACCTTTTTTTTTTCACACGTCATGTGGCATGTTTGGTGTGTACTTGGTACCAATACATGTTATTTTCTTGCAATGATGGGCAATTAAGACTGATGGGTTGTCATAGCTGAGTAATAGCCCGTAATAGGGCTCGGGATCCACGTTGCATTGTGGGACGTCGCAGCCATACTGACTGCTACGCAAACGTAAGCATAGCTCTGACACAACGTTGTTGTTGAAAGAAGAGACAGAAGTAGAGAGAAAAAAGATGTTAAAATCCCGAAAAGGATCTGGAATTTACCGGGACACATTAAATAGAGAAGCCAGGGACCGGTATGGTGACAAAATCAGCATTGTTAATCATTTGGATCCATATAAAGTTCCAAACAATGAGTGGAGCACCGATGAGTGAGCGCCTATACTTCAAAACAGTTCCCAAGCTACAAGTCCTTGGAGTCTCATGTGCAGCTCATGAATGGATGGGTTCAGGAGCTGCAGATCATAAAGCCAGCAAACAGTGCGGACACAGTAATCCGTACGAAGGTAAGCTGTGATCAGACGGGCTCTGGAACCTGCTAGTTTAGCAACTGCTAACCGCTAGTGCTAACAACCACTCACGCATGTAATGCACTTTTAACTAGCTGCTATGTGTTTCAAAGATGTAGTTAGTAACGTTAACTGCCAACCCTCCGGGTTTCTCACGTATTTGAGCATTTTCCCGCTGCCGTTTTTATTATTTTCCCGTAAAAGATCCCAACTTTGAAGGAAAGAAACAAAGTAGGCTATAAAATAAAACCGTGCATCTTTAACTTACCAGAATGAAAATGCAGGGAACACACTCTCAATGACATTGGAATACTGTGGAAAGTTATGTTCGGTCGTCTTACAGCCGCGATCCAAGCTAGCCGACGACTCTTTATCTCTGATGCTTGGTCTCCATGGTTACGCCTCCAGTCAGGAAAGCGGTGGAAAGTTAACCCATTTTCTATGTTGTTCCCATGGCGATGATGTGTTGAGCTGTTACAGCCCACAATACAGCAACGGTTTACCATGGTTGAAATCAAGTTAAGGTGAAATTAATCAAATTAAAACACGGCTGAGAGGGAGTACAGTATGCGGTAGTCATAGGCAGTAGTCTGAGCCGCGGTAAAAGACGCATTCAACATGGCGGCGACGCGAAGTGCTTACGTCACGACGACCAAGCCCTATAGTAACTGTCCCCCACAGTTTCAAAAACCTATCTGCGCCCCTGCTGTGCCTATTGGCCAACGCTCTGACCAATGAGAGCAACTGACTGTGACGTAGGAAGCATTTCA